CTAAGAAAAAACGGTCACCATTTTCGAACTCAGCATGCCATGGGCTATCTGTATGCTAATTTTGAGCGAAATCATTACTCGAATTTGAATTCGAATATTTTCGTTTAAAGTGAACTTGACTTTGACCTATGACCTTGACCTCAGATTTTTTTTGATGTGCCACTGCTTCTCGATGAGACGAACACAGTGGTGGCCGAAATTTTCCAATATCTCCAAAAATGAAGATTTTATAGGGTACGGCGACATTTAGACCTTGACCTTGACATATGACCTTGACCTCGGATTTTTTAAAAGCGCTACTGTTTCTCGATGAGACGAGCACACTGGTGGGCGAATTTCTCAAATCGGACCATAAACAAAGATTTACAGGGTACGCAGTGTTTTGACCTCTCAGGGTCAAACGGTTTGACCTAAGAAAAAACGGTCACCATTTTCGAACTCAGCGTACCATGGGCTATCTTGTATGCCAATTTTGAGCGAAATCATTACTCGAATTTTAATTCGAATATTTTCGTTTAAAGTGAACTTGACTTTGACCTATGACCTTGACCTCAGATTTTTTTGATGTGCCACTGTTTCTCGATGAGACGAACACAGTGGTGGCCGAAATTTTCCAATATCTCTAAAAATGAAGATTTTATAGGGTACGGCGACTTTTAAAGTGACCTTGACCTTGACCTATGACCTTGACCTCGTTTTTTTTAATGTGCTACTGCTTCTCGATGATAGTGGTCACAGTGGTCACAGTGGTCAAGACGTGGTGGCCGAAATTTTCCAATATCTTCAAAAATGAATATTTTATAGGGTACGGCGACTTTTAAAGTGACCTTGACCTTGACCTTGACCTATGACCTTGACCTCAGATTTTTTAATGTGCTACTGCTTTTCGATGAGACAAACACACTGATGGGCGAATTTTTCAAACCAGACCATAAACAAAGATTTACAGGGTACGCAGTGTTTTGACCTCTCAAGGTCAAACGGTTTGACCTAAGAAAAAACGGTCACCATTTTCGAACTCAGCATGCCATGGGCTATCTGTATGCTAATTTTGAGCGAAATCATTACTCCAATTTGAATCAAAATATTTTCGTTTAAAGTGACCTTGACCTTGACATATGACCTTGACCTCGGATTTTTTTTAATGTGCTACTGCTTCTCGATGAGACGAACACAGTGCCCAGTAAACATGCCGACGTCGGCCCGACGTCGGCCGACGTCGGGGTGACGTCGGCAACTCGGCATCGGCATGCCGACGTCGGCCCGACGTCGGTCCAACCTCGGCACGACGTCGGCTGGATGTCGGATATGCCCGCATGTACCGACGTCCAGCCGAGGTCCAGCCGACGTCGGGCCGACGTCGGACCGAGATCAATTGCTGAGGTCCAGACGACGTCGGGCCGACGTCGGGGCGACGTCGGACCGACATCGGCCGCTGTTTTGACCGTTAAAATAATATAAAATACATGTTTCATGTTTCATAAAAAGCTTCTGTATTCAAAATATCCTCAGGAAACTCAAATCTTCCTCCACGCCGCAACCGCCTGATCCGGACTGGACGGGAAACTTTATCCCATTAGGGATTGCCCGTAAGCCGAGCTCGCCCGTAGCCGGGTGCGGTGAGTGCTTGGGGGCTGCTCGGCCTCGGCCCCCGCCGAAGTTAGTTGGTAGCACTGCTGCTCCACGGCGTACATTTCCTACCAGCCCATAGGGTTTACATGTTAAATGGCCTGTTTTCGGCGAGCGATATCTCGGTCAACCTTTGAAGGAATCAATGGTTCTTAGTCTCAAAAGATAGATCGATGAATTTTCTTTCGACAATTCCTCTACCATTTTTCACGAAACCCAGCCGATCTTCTACGGCGTACAGGGTAAAGATTTCTCTGCACGCCAGCACCCGCGATCCGCCTCTCCAATCGTCGGCGCGCGGTCCTCGGTAGCGCAGTCGGTAGCGTATCGGGCTACGGATCCGAGGATCGTGAGTTCGAATCCTGGGAGCGCCGTGTGATTTCGGCTAGAATTGAATGATCTGGAATCTTGAATGTTTGCGTAATGAATTATTAATAGCTAATTGAATGTATCTGCGCCCTAATCGGCCCCTAAAACCTGTTATTTAGGAAATTTAAGAAATGAATGTCACGTGCGCGTCACGACTGCCGACCATAAGCCCTACCATATTCTAGTTTGAACTAACTTTTTGCTAGTCCCGACCACATATAGTAGGTTTTCTAGTAGTTATACTAGAAATTCCTACCAAAGTTCGTCCTACCCTTCACTCAATATACCCTGGCTCGGCCTATCCTTTCGTCAGGCTCAGCCCCGGCAACTCACCAGGGCCGGGCCCAGTTCATGTAGAAAGGCCAGTCGGCAAGTGTAACTTTGCCAAAGTGCCACTTATCAAAGGGACACTTTGGGAAACGTTGGTGCAGGTGTGTAAGAGTGGCTATATGAATCCATTGTGGGGTCGCCCTTTCCAATAAGTGTCACGTAACAGCAATGGGACCAGGGACTCTATATGAACTGGACCCAGGGTGCTCGCGAAGAAGACCAATGTCTCCATCCTATCATCCTTCCGGCTCTGAAATGGTCTTGTCAGACCGAAAGGGCATAACCCAACAAAACAAACTAATATCAGTATCTGGCTGCGTGGTATAGTGGTTAGCGCACTAACCTCGAATTCAAATGACGCAGGGTTCGAATCCCATCGCCGGCTGATGCTTTTGGCGTGTTGTCCCAGTAAACATGCCGACGTCGGCGACTGGGGGGCTCGAATCCCGCCGCCGGTTGATATTTTTGGCGCGTTGTCCCAATAAACATGCCGACGTCGGCCCCGTCGGTCCAACGACAAACGATCTCGTCAACCTCGGCAAACGACCTCGGCCCGACGTCGGCTCGACGTCGGCTGAACTTCGGCTGGACGTCGGAACATGCGGGCATATCCGACGTCCAGCCGATGTCGGGCCGAGGTTGAACCGACGTTGGGCCGACGTCGGCATGTTTACTGGGTGGTGGCCGAAATTTTCCAATATCTCCAAAAATGAAGATTTTATAGGGTACGGCGACATTTAGACCTTGACCTTGACATATGACCTTGACCTCGGATTTTTTAAAAGCGCTACTGTTTCTCGATGAGACGAGCACACTGGTGGGTGAATTTCTCAAATCGGACCATAAACAAAGATTTACAGGGTACGCAGTGTTTTGACCTCTCAGGGTCAAACGGTTTGACCTAAGAAAAAACGGTCACCATTTTCGAACTCAGCGTACCATGGGCTATCTTGTATGCCAATATTGAGCGAAATCATTACTCGAGTTTGAATTCGAATATTTTCGTTTAAAGTGAACTTGACTTTGACCTATGACCTTGACCTCAGATTTTTTTGATGTGCAACTGCTTCTCGATGAGACGAACACAGTGGTGGCCGAAATTTTCCAATATCTCTAAAAATGAAGATTTTATAGGGTACGGCGACTTTTAAAGTGACCTTGACCTTGACCTATGACCTTGACCTCGTTTTTTTAATGTGCTACTGCTTCTCGATGATAGTGGTCACAGTGGTCACAGTGGTCAAGACGTGGTGGCCGAAATTTTCCAATATCTTCAAAAATGAATATTTTATAGGGTACGGCGACTTTTAAAGTGACCTTGGCCTTGACCTATGACCTTGACCTCAGATTTTTTAATGTGCTACTGCTTTTCGATGAGACAAACACACTGATGGGCGAATTTTTCAAACCGGACCATAAACAAAGATTTACAGGGTACGCAGTGTTTTGACCTCTCAAGGTTAAACAGTTTGACCTAAGAAAAAACGGTCACCATTTTCGAACTCAGCATGCCATGGGCTATCTGTTTGCTAATTTTGAGCGAAATCATTACTCGAATTTGAATCAAAATATTTTCGTTGAAAGCGACCTTGACCTTGACCTTGACCTATGACCTTGAACTCGGATTTTTTTTTTTGAATGTGCTACTGCTTCTCGATGAGACGAACACAGTGGTGGCCGAAATTTTCCAATATCTCCAACAATGAAGATTTTATAGGGTACGGCGACATTTAAAGTTACCTTGACCTTGACATATGACCTTGACCTCGGATTTTTTAAAAGTGCTACTGTTTCTCGATGAGACGAACACACTGGTAGGCAAATGTTTCAAACCGGACCATAAACAAATATTCTACAGGGTACGCAGTGTTTTGACCTCTCAAGGTGAATTGGTTTGACCTAGTAAAATAGGTCACCATTTTCCAACTCAGCGTGCCATGGGCTATCTGTATGCCAATTATGAGCGAAATCATTACTCGAATTTGAATCCGAATATGTGCGTTTAGAGTGACCTTGATCTTGATGTATGACCTTGAACTCGTTTTTTTTAATTTGCTACTGCTTTTCGATGAGACGAACAGTGGTGGCTGAAATTTTCCAATATCTCTAAAAATGAAGACTTTATAGGATACGGCGACTTTTAAAGTGACCTTGACCTTTACCTATGACCTTGACCTCCAATTTTTTAGAACATACTACTGCTTCTCGACGAGACGAACACAGTGGTGGCCGAAATTTTCCAAAATCTTCAAAAATGAAGGCCTACCCATCCCCTACCCCCACACCTGCTGGACGCACCGCACACACCGCACGCAGCAGTGTGCGGTGCCCGTGAACACCCCTCTGGTGGGCGAATTTTTCAAATCGGTCCATAAACAACGATTATACAGGGTACGCAGTGTTTTGACCTCTCAAGGTCATACGGTTTGACCTAGGAAAAAAGGTCACCATTTTCAAACTCAGTGGGCCATGGGCTATCTGTATGCCAATTTTGAGCGCGAAATCAGCACTCGAATTTGAATCCGAATACGAATACGACGCTAACTTTATGGACATGCAATAGAGGCAATGACAACTGACAAGTCGTAGAAGGTGCATGGCATTGCAAGTGTTAGTAAAGTAATCTTGCTTGCAAGAACTGTTGAACTCAAGAAGGCTTCACAGGTACGTACCTTTAAAGTCGTGCAGTTCGTCTTCCAGGAATCTCCACGAGACAGCAGCTGTTTGAGCTACACCAGCAGAAGAACACAATCACCGACGCCCACAGCCCATAGTACACCCAATGCCATTATTTAAAAACATCCGAAGGTAAATATTGCCCGTACTACAGTCCTCCTGAAAGTTCCCTATATACCGTGCTCGAACCGCCCGAGCCCCAAACTGCGTCGTATCGTAGCTACATTTCCCAATGTAACGGAAGTTAGCCCACATTCAGCCCACATTCGGCCCAGCCCAGATTGGGGCTGCCAAATCTAGGGAAAAATCTAAAAATCTAGGGAAAAATCTAAAAACCGTTTTACGCCTAAACGGCTGCGCGAAAATGAAAAATAGGACCACCATTTGAAAGATCTCTTCACCCCGGACCTAATGATATGGTTAAATACCGGATCAATTTACCGAAAAGCATGATTTAACTATAGTCACCGTGGATTTAACCAGGATGAAAATTTTCGGTCAATGGGGCGGCCCCTACGATTTTCTTCAAAATCGGCATGGTGATACTACAGGCGGAGATGATCAATCTGGCTGAAGAATTGAAATGGGCATTGAAATCTATGGGCATTGAAATCTATGGGGTAAAAACGCCCCTGGAAAGTTTTACCCACGCAATTCTGGCAAGTGTATTGCACGCATCCCCCCAATATGGGTATCATATATGAAAGCCCATGAAAACTTAAACAAAATGGTGGGGTAAAATTTACCCATTACCCCATCCAGGGTAAAGTTTACCCAAGATGAAATTTTTCGGTCAATGGGGCGGCCCCTACGATTTTCTTCAAAATCGGCATGGTGATACTACAGGCCGAGATGATCAATCTGGCTGAAGAAACCCCTATGGGCATTGAAATATATGGGGTAAAAATGACCTTGGAAAGATTTACCCACGCATTTCTGGCAAGTGTATTGCACGCATCCCCCAATATGGGTATCATATGAAAGCACATGAAAACCCAAACAAAATGGTGGGGTAAAATTTACCCATTACTCCATCCAGGGTAAAGTTTACCCAAGATGAAATTTTTCGGTCAATGGGGCGGCCCCTACGATTTTCTTCAAAATCGGCATGGTGATACTACAGGCCGAGATGATCAATCTGGCTGAAGAAACCCCTATGGGCATTGAAATATATGGGGTAAAAACGCCCCTGGAAAGTTTTACCCACGCATTTCTGGCAAGTGTATTGAACGCATCCCCCCAATATGGGTATCATATGAAAGCCCATGGAAACCCAAACAAAATGGTGGGGTAAAATTTACCCATTACCCCATCCAGGGTAAAGTTTACCCAAGATGAAATATTTCGGTCAATGGGGCGGCCCCTACGATTTTCTTCAAAATCGGCATGGTGATACTACAGGCCGACATGATCAATCTGGCTGAAGAAACCCCTATGGGCATTGAAATCTATGGGGTAAAAACGCCCCTGGAAAGTTTTACCCACGCATTTCTTGCAAGTGTATTGCACGCATCCCCCCAATATGGGTATCATATGAAAGCTTATGAAAACCCAAACAAAATGGTGGGGTAAAATTTACCTATTACCCCATCCAGGGTAAAGTTTACCCGAGATGAAAATTTTCGGTCAAGGGGGTGGTCCCTACGATTTTCTTCAAAATCGGCATGGTGATACTACAGGCCCAGATGACCAATCTGGCTGAAGAAACCCCTATGGGCATTGAAATCTATGGGGTAAAAACGCCCTTGGAAAGTTTTACCCACGGATTTCTGGCAAGTGTATCGCACGCATCCCCCCAATATGGGTATCATATGAAAGCCCATGAAAACCCAAACAAAATGGTGGGGTAAAATTTACCCATTACCATTAAATTTGTTGACCGAAAATTTTCATCTCGGGTAAACTTTACCCTGAATGGGGTAATGGGTAAATTATACCCCGTACCATTTTGTTAAGGTTTTCATGGGCTTTCATATAATACCCCAGTAAACATGACGACGTCGGCCCGACGTCGGGCCGAGGCTCGGCCCGACGTCGGCCCAACGTCGGTTCAACCTCGTCCCGACATCGGCTGGACGTCGGATATGCCCGCATGTTCCGACGTCCAGCCGAAGTCCAGCCGACGTCGAGCCGACGTCGGGCCGAGATCGTTTGCCGAGGTTGACGAGATCGTTTGTCGTTGGATCGACGGGGCCGACGTCGGCATGTTTATTGGGACAACGCGCCAAAAATATCAACCGGCGGCGGGATTCGAGCCCACCAGTCGCCGACGTCGGCATGTTTACTGGGACAACACGCCAAAATCACCAGCCGGCGATGGGATTCGAACCCGGTGTCATTCAAACGCGAGGTTAATGCGCTAACCACTACACCACGCAGCCAGCTAACGAGTTACGTTTGTTTTGTTAGGTTATGCCCTTTCGGTCTGACAAGACCATTTCAGAGCCGGAAAGATCATAGGATGGAGACATTGGTCTTCTTGGCGAGCACCCTGGGTCCAGTTCATATAGAGTCCCTGGTCCCATTGCTGTTACGTGACACTTATTGGAAAGGGCGACCCCACAATGGATTAATATAGCCACTCTTACACACCTGCACCAACGTTTCCCAAAGTGTCCCTTTGATTAGTGGCACTTTGGCAAAGTGACACTTGCCGACTGGCCTTTCTATATGAACTGGGCCCGGCCCTGGTGAGTTGCCGGGGCTGAGCCTGACCAAAGGATAGGCCGAGCAGCCCCCAAGCACTCACCGCACCCGGCTACGGGCGAGCTCGGCTTACGGGCAATCCCAAATGGGATAAAGTTTGCCGTCCAGTCCGAATCAGGGGATTGCGGCGTGGAGGAAGATTTGAGTTTCCTGAGGATATCTTGAATACAGAAGCTCTTTATGGAACATGAAACATGTATTTAATATTATTTTAACGGTCAAAACAGCGGCCGATGTCGGTCCGACGTCGCCCCGACGTCGGCCCGACGTCGACTGGACCTCAGCAATTGATCTCGGTCCGACGTCGGCCCGACGTCGGCTGGACCTCGGCTGGACGTCGGAACATGCGGGCATATACGACATCCAGCCGACGTCGTGCCGAGGTTGGACCGACGTCGGGCCGACGTCGGCATGCTGATGCCGAGTTGCCGACGTGAGCCCGACGTCGGCCGACGTCGGGCCGACGTCGGCATGCTTACTGGGACCCATATTGGGGGATGCGTGCAACACAGTTGCCAGAAATGCGTGGGTAAAACATTCCACGGGCGTTTTTACCCCATAGATTTCAATGCCCATAGGGGTTTCTTCAGCCAGATTGATCATCTCCGCCTGTAGTATCACCATGCCGATTTTGAAGAAAATCGTAGGGGCCGCCCCATTGACCGAAAATTTTCATCTCGGGTAAACTTTACCCTGGATGGGGTAATGGGTATATTATACCCCACCATTTTGTTTGGGTTTTCATGGGCTTTCATATGATACCCATATTGGGGGGATGCGTTCAATACACTTGCCAGAAATGCGTGGGTAAAACTTTCCAAGGGCATTTTTACCCCATAGATTTCAATGCCCATAGGGGTTTCTTCAGCCAGATTGATCATCTCGGCCTGTAGTATCACCATGCCGATTTTGAAGAAAATCGTAGGGGCCGCCTTATTGACCGAAAATTTTCATCTTGGGTAAACTTTACCCTGGATGGGGTAATGGGTAAATTTTACCCCACCATTTTGTTTAGGTTTTCATGGGCTTTCATATGATACCCATATTGGGGGGATGCGTGCGATACTCTTGCCAGAAATCCGTGGGTAAAACTTTCCAAGGGCGTTTTTACCCCATAGATTTCAATGCCCATAGGGCTTTCTTCAGCCAGATTGATCATCTGGGCCTATAGTATCACCATGCCGATTTTGAAGAAAATCGTAGGGGCCGCCCCATTGACCGAAAATTTTCATCCTGGTTAAATCATGCTTTTGGTTAAATTGATCCGGTATTTAACCATATCATTAGGTCCGGGGTTAAGACATCTTTCAAATGGTGGTCTTATTTTTCAGTTTCGTCGAGCCGTTTAGGCGTAAAACGGTTTTTAGATTTTTCCCTAGATTTTTAGATTTTTCCCTAGATTTGGCAGCCCCAATCTGGGCTGGGCCGAATGTGGGCTGAATGTGGGCTAACTTCCGTTACATCCAAGTACCGATGTCGCCATGTTGAAAAAAGCACCTTTGTTGTTTCTGTAAATTTTATGAGTTTTTTTATTTATGGATGGTTGTTATAGTTGCGGCTGAATAGTGTTGTTCCAGGACCTAAGATCTGGCATTTGGCACTGCCTTGGATCTGGCAGCCCCTAGTACCACGAAAGATGCGCACGTGGGACGTTTGAGACATTTCCATTATCCCCGCGTTCGATGTCTCTCGGACGACGAAGATTCTACGTCGTCCGGCCAATCCCGTCCAAGGTCAGCGGGGGCTCGGCTGCGGTTGTGGAATGTGATTGGCCGGACGGCGTAGAATCTTCGCCGTCCGGGAGACATCGAACGCGGGGTATGTGACCATAGGACGACGGCAAGACGACGGTGAAAACCGGAAAACAGGGCGCCTGGGGCGATTTGATCAAGGTTCGTATTTGATCGTTCGTATACCCTGTTTAACCGGCATTACCATCACATTCATATATACTGTGATTAGTGGGCAGATAGGTACCTATGCAAGGCCTTTTTTATTGGCTACTAGGCAGTTATCTGTTATCTATATTGATATACCGTGGTTTTGAGCGCACAGGTATCAGGTACGCATATTTTTCATTTTCACATCAGTCGGGCGCACTATGGTATCGGCAGTCCATTTATGGATACGTATCTATTAAAGGAAACGTTTCCAAATTTGGAAGGCACTTTGTTCCATTTATGGAAACGCCAGTTCCAAAATTAGAAACGCCAATTTTTAAGCAGGCATATTTCTGTATTTCTTAAGTTAATAGTAATCTTTTCAGCTGGCGTGTCTTTTCGTCGATATGTTTTCTCCCAAAACAGTAAAATCCAACAATATATTCGTGCGCAAATGGTGAATCTGATGCCCTGACGCAAACCCTTGTCAACGTTCCATTTTTGGAAACGGAAGGTTCCAAAAATGGAAACTATGAGCCAACACAGGAAAAGGCATAAGCACCATATTATTGATATGTGAATGTGGGCCTGTCTACCCCACGCCCTCTAAGTAATTGCCGAGCTATTGATGCCGGTACATGTTCTGATATGGGTGATTTCCCTTTGCATCTAAATTTTGTATGAATGGTCCTCCGATTGCTTGGGCATAGTGCCCGAAAGCCGATGTTGGTACAATAATGCTTACGGAAATGTGTCTTCTGGGGAAAGTCCCCAATTTCTAGGCACTTATAAACCCCAGAACTGTCCAACCGTCTTGCCTACTAAGCTGCTACTGCTTACGAAACCCACATTATAACATATTTTAACTGTTGCAAGCATGCATGCGTGACTGCAGTAAGCGTCGCGATGTGCCCTGAATTGTGGTTAACAGACTCTGGCTTCCCAAGAAAAGCAAGGCTTTATAAGTAAGGTTGGAGTTAAACTTCGGCCTAATCAGGCTGGTTCAGAAGCTCCGGTTCGCATTTCATGCTGTCGGAGCGTGCACCTTTTCCAACCTTCTCGTGGATTATTAGAAATGAGAAAGGCAGAAAGTGCTTCTAAAAACATTAAATGCAAATAAGAGTTGAAATACTTATAACCTACTGCATCTCTGAGCTGTATGTACAGCGTCATGAGCTGTATCGTCATTTGTTCCAAAAATGGAAACTGTGCTTCATAAAACATTATTCAATGGGCCTTACACAGGCACTAACTGAAGGCCTACTGAACTAATACGGTGCAAAGTGGGCAATTAGTACAGTTTGAGCATTTCCCTATCCATAGAAATTGTTTATAACACCTTGTCATCGCTTTTTCATATAATTGAATCGTTTAAAACTGGACGACAGCTTGGATCGCTTCCGACAAGCAGTAACATATCAGACCTTTAATGCAATTATTTACATACATTCTACCAACTTTCACACATTCGTAAGTTAAATGGGTGCTAAGAAGTTCAGTTTGCCCACTTAGAAGCATCTGTACGAAATATTTTCCAACTTACCGCCTTCCAAAGCCGGAGAGACGATCTCCGCACGTGGTCACCAACACGCCATTCAGGGCTTGCTTTACAGCAATGTAAAATATTAATGAATACCAGACAGCAAGTCTCTCAATTAAAACATTGCCATTCTTGTGAAAATCAAATTTTTCCACAAAAAATGAGGTACATTTCATTAATGACACATAAAAGTTCACCTATCATGAAAAATTATATTGTTCACAAAAGGAAGTGGACCGTGCAAGCCTGTTCAACAGCCGATTTTTCTGTTCAACGTTGGAATTATGAAGCGAAATGCGGTCTTTTGATTGGTGGCCTTTGTTTGATGCGGAAATCTATGGTTTATTGCGGAAACTACCGAACAGGTTTATGTGCTCCTTGCGTTTCCGAAAATAGAAACGGAGCGTTTCCATTATTGGAACAGTTGGTTTTTAGCGTTTCCATTTTTGGAACTTTCTTCCAAAAATAGAAACGTTTCTATAAATGGACTGCCGATACCATAGTGCGCCCGACTGACATGCTTTCTGCTGGGTGTTTGTTCAGGCAGCGGCTCATGTTGGTGTGTAGTTCTTCATCAAAGGAAATATAGGTACCTACTTTTGGTTTCAAAGTAAGGGCCCAGGTTACCAGAGGGGTGTTCACGGACCCTGTGTGCGGTCGGACCGCACACAGCCTCCAAGCTCCGCCCACTGCGTCCCTACGTCAGCATTCCGTCACCGCACACAGCGATCACTGTGGCCGGTCAGGACCGGCCACAGCGGACCGTCCACCGCACGCAGCCGTGACGTCAGAACTGCCTACCCATCCCCTACCCCCACGCCTGCTGGACGCACCGCACACAGCGCACGCAGCAGTGTGCGGTGCCCGTGAACACCCCCCTGTTGTTTGGATGCTGTGAATACCCTCGCCCTCGCCACTGCTCGAGTGTGGCGAGGGTGAGGTGGCACTGCATGGGTTGGAGGGGTGTACTTTTTTTTATAAATTTAGTCTGAACCTTTTGATTGGAGAGATTCACAAATCACAAGGACAGAGCCCCTGCTAAGCGAACCTTGTTGCATTAACCCTGCCCTCTACCCTCCAATCGCACAATTCCGATTCTATGGCAGAATTTATATTCCAAAGTTTAACTTGCGCACATAGCCGCGCACAGTTGGTCCCCTCTGCCCTCACTGACTTCGCCTGGCTACAGCGTGCCACCAACCGCAACCATACCTGTCAGGAGGCCCATAAATGTCAAGCGCCCGTCGCGCTTCAAACCCTGACTGCTGTAACCGGGAACTCATGCTCTCACCACATGGAGTCCAACGCTCTACTGACTGAGCTACAGGACCGGCATAGCTACTTGGCCTGAGCTGTGGCTAGGGTAAAGGGTATTCACTGCATCAAAACTCCAGGTTGCCTGGACTGGACCCTTATCTTGAGCCCAATAGTACCACTTCAACATGGGTTCTTAAACTAGAATAGCAGTCTTGTAGCATGAGTTGAAAGTAGCACAATTCTGAAGCTTTTATGCCCCAACAATGACCCTGGCCACTCAAAGATATATCAATTTCAGTTCTAAAATCATTCCCTTCAGGGAAATGTGGTGCCTCAAGAGGAATGCATTGGTACATGATTAAAAAAATCCTATTCACCTTTCAAACATAAATTTAGCATATTCTTGCATAATTTGACATCCTGAATCCAAATATGATGTTAACATGTGGTGTAACAGAACAAAACATTAACAGTTTATTTGTGGATGAAGTTTTCACCAACAGGTTTTACTTACCTTACTAATGGCGTGGCTTTGGGAGGCCAGAGGCCTTTTGGACCCGTTCTCATCAAGCTCTTTGAATCTTGGTTATTGCTCCAGCTTAGGTAGGTATGTCATAAATATGATCAGACCAGTGACTATCAAGCCGGTTCTTGAACTCGTTAGCAGAGGTCGCCGTCACGACGTGGGGAGGCAGGGAGTTCCAGTCGTTAAGCGCCCGGACGCTCCAGTGGTTTCTCCGAGCTCTTGTCAGCGCTGTCGGTTTTGCTAGCTTCATGGAGTGACCTCTGGTGCTTGTAGAAGGAGCCGGCTGGAAGGAGTCGTCCTTTGCCACGTTGAGGTGGTCATTCATCAGCATGTACACCATGATGAATTGACGTCACCTCTGCGTCGTCTGTAGAGCAGGGATGGATGCTTGAGTTTGCTGAGGCGCTCCCGATACGGAAGATGACGGATCTCCGCGACAAGCCGGGTAGCTCGGCGCTGTACTCGCTCCACAAGAAACTGGTCTTCCTTGGTAAAGGGTCCCCAGACAATGTTCCCATAATCCAGGTGGGGGCGCACCACTCACCAGTGTCTTGAGGAGAAGGGGTAACGTCCGAGTGTCCAGCAGCTCGAAAGAACGCCTGATGATCCCCAGGATCTGGTTTGCCTTCTTGATAGCCGTGGCAGCCTGCTTCCGAAACTTCAACTGCTCGTCGACGATGACTCCCAGATCCTTCTCCTCCCCAACTTGTGCGACAGGGGCGCCGAGCCGGGAGTACTCGTGTCTGGGATTGCCAGACCCCAGATGCAGGACCTTACATTTCCTCTGATTAAAAGGCAGCAGCCAAGTCATGGACCAGTGTTCGAGTCTTTCCAGGTCCAACTGCATCTGGATGCGGCCCTGGGTTCCTTCCAGCCAAGGACACGCATACAATTTCGCGTCGTCCGTGAAGAGCACGAGGAAGGCATGGTCTCCCTCTCCAACTTGGAGTACCTACCCGGCCTGAACTGCAGCGACAACGTCATTCTCAGATTTACCCAGATTTACCCTGGTAGGTATGCTACTCTCCCAGAAACCCAAGCCAGGCATCTCACCATGCAGTCATCGACTATGAAAGCCTCCCCAAGGAATTGGAGGAATGCAACTGGTTGCAGCTCGCGGACATGGGCATCGAAGAGCCCTACACCACCTTTAACCCGCGAGTTGCTGGGGGGGGGGGGGCGTTAAACGCCCCCACTTTTTTCGTCTGGCCATAAAAACGGCGCGAAAAATTTGGGTACCTGTAGGGAATTGACTGAAGTTTATTGTGACAAAGTTTCAAAAAAATTGGTCTGAAAATTTTTGAGATATCGAAGTTTTAGTGACGTCATGATTTCTGAGTTTTCGACCAAAAACGGCATATGTTCAAAAAATCATATAAAATCACAGAATAGACATACAGACATGCCGTAAACGCCATTAGACTGCCAATACCATGATCAATCAAATGGCTATCTTCGATTATTGATTGTCGTTCCGCATTTTCCAAAATCTTGAACTGAATCTTGGCAATTTCTCGTGACTACTTCACAAGTCACGACCAGTAGCGGCGGAACACCCTCAATTAAGGGGGGGGGGGGCACTGCCGACTTTTGGTCCCATTCTTTCCATACAACGCCCATAGGGCTAATGTTAAAATGCCAAAATCAAAGGGGGGCACGGACACGGTGCCCCGGTGCCCTCCCCGTTCCGCCGCCTATGCACGACCATGATACATGCATTTCTTAAATTGAACTTTTTGAACAAAACACGTACACATATGATAAAATGAATGTCACCATCGTGTTCTACGCCCCAAATTACCAGTAAAACATATGTCACAGGCTGCGAATATCAGTTTTGATTTTCGGGGATATGTGCC